TTATCGACGCCCATGATCGCCTTAGACTTTGTCGCGGGCACGATCAAGGAGTTGTCCCCGCGAAAGAGACCCTGATGAAGGTGACAGGGGGGAAACACAAACCTTTCCCCGACAACGCTCTCCAGGAGGTTCACGAGCTTAGACTCATCAATGTACTGCCTCTTGGGCAGATTCTCTTCCGAAGGGGATGACTGGGTGCACTGCAGAGACGAAGAGGAGCCCCCAGGATGCTGATTAGGTTTTAACATCTGCTGGACCTAGGTGACTCGGCCTTTAGTAGCCTTCTTCGCACCCTTGGTCTCCACGAGCTTCATCACGCATTCTTGAAGGCTCGAAATCTAGCCTGCAACAAAGAAAATAACAGGTTAGCACGACAAGAGAAAATAAGCGGACACACAAACAAGCTAGAAACACCCGCTACCTAAGAGCCTCATTGCTTCCTCGTCGGACCCGCACTCGAGAAGGGCCTTGGTGTTAATCAACAGGGGCTCGAGGAAAATATCCATGCGCTCGTCACGAATAAAACTCTTGTCCTTGTTGACACATTTGGCAGGAGTAAAATTGGGGCCGAATGCGACTATCTTCTCATAAGCGAGTTGATCCTCGTCGTCCAACTCGTCAGGCTTGGTGATGTAGTTGTTTGTCCCCTTGGTGAAGTGGACCCCCTACCACTCAAGGGGGAACTTCGCTTCCAAAGCCTCCACTTGTAGCCCGTTCTCGTGCTTAATCACACGGTCGAACAGGGAATTAACGGCCGAATGTAATACGGGCTTTATGACGAAGTATCTCTCCTTAAAAGCACGAACAGAATCCAGGTACGCCCTGAACAACTTCCTCGGCTGCTTCAGAGATACCTAACTATGTCGGCCATGTAAGGATTGTCGCTGAATGTGAAACATGTAACACCCCAAATTTAATTGGAATATTTTAATTTATTTATTTAATTGAGAATATTCGTATTTTGGTGGTTTTCGGTGGTTTTGTGGATTATTGGGAATTATGCATTTTTGGATTATTTATTTAATTAATAGTATACAATATGCAAATATTAGTATTATTATTAGTTAAAATAAATATAAGTGAAATAAGGGTAATTTGGGCATTAAGAGGAGTTAGTAAGGGTGTTATGGGAAAAGCCCAATTGTGTGGCCCAAGACTAGGTTTGACAAAAAGGAATTCGAAAGGAAATTAGGATTCATTTTGTTAACCGTGAAAAGTATTGAGGCCACAACTCTGAAAAAAAGATTGGAGGCAGAAGCTTCGAGAGATTCCCTGAAAGATTGAGAAGGCTTTGATCGACAACTAAGGTATGGGGAGTATAGTCTTTCATAATTTTCCATGTGTGACTTTCAGTGTATTTAAGGTTGATTTAAGGGTTTAAGAGTTTTGAGGCGAATAATGAGAAAAGGTGATTTTTGGCCTTCGTGGCCTAAATCGATTATTGAGAATTTTAATCGTAGGGATTTATTTGGGAAAAAAGGGAAACTAGGCCTTCGTGGCCAAAAACTATGATTTGACTCTAACCCTGTAGGAAAATTTGATAGTGAGAACCCTGATGGTTGTGGTGTAATGGTAAGTATTCTTGACTATTAGAGTATAGATATGAGAAATGGTGATCTTTGGCCTTCGTGGCCTAAACCTATTAGTGTGAATCTAACTTGGAATACGTTGGGGAAAAGGGAAAGGTAGGCCTTCGTGGCCAAAACCTTGAATTGTTATATGTCTAACCTTGAACTGTGATATGTCTAACCTTGAAGGGATATGAATATTTGATAGTGAGTAACTCTGATGCCTTAGGGTGTAGTTGAAGGAAAAATTGTGATTTAGGGCGTGAATATGTTACGGGATTGGCCTAGTAAACCGTAGGTTTTGTGCCTTTATCATCGTAAGACCTTAGGGGTGATTTAGAGATGTTTTGGGGGCATTGGGGAAGTGAATCGTGTGGACTTTTGGGTTGATTTAGGTTTTGGAGCGTAACAGTGTTTTGCTGTCTGTCACGACTGTTCATGTTTTTGGTCGAAATCGTTTTGGACGTAACTTTTGATCCGTAAGTCCGTTTGACCCCCGTTCGAAGCGTTGGAAAGCTAATGAACAGGGCTATAACATAGTATAGATAAGGGAATTGGTTTCCCAATATTTTTATATTTAGTTATGTTTGAGAAGTCAATTGTGTATATGTTCTATTAATGAATCATGTTCTGGTTCAGTGATGTCTTGATGTTTTGATGCTGCAATTTTTCTGATGAATTACCATGAGGGTAACTGTGATAATATGTGATAATAGGATGAATTAACATGAGTAGGACTGTGAAGTTTATGTGATTAATAGGCGATAGTATGAGAATTACCGCGAGTATAATTATGAATTAATATGTGATAATATGTGATAATATGAGGCGTTACAAAACATGCAGAAGAACAGGGGGAGCGTGGCATCAACGCAAAGATGTTGACACACGAGCTCAAACGCCCGCATGAACGCGACCCCGTTGGGGTGAAGCTACGAGGGCGCCAAAACCAGCCATTGGAACACCCCCTTTTGGAAGTCGATGAAGGGCAGACGAAGCCCTGCTTCCCTGAACGCGAACTCGTACATTGGAAACCGCATCCCTTTGAACGACGAGCATATTTAGTGCGTCTCTCTAGGTTTGTAGACCATCCAGTTCACGGAGGCCCCTTTGGAGAGATCCTCGACGGTTGTAAAGGCATTTGAGTCGTCAAGAGTGAAGCGCGAAGCGATGCTACGAGGCTCCTGCCCAACCCAATCGAACACTATGTCGGCTTCCACGACCTCAACTTCCTCGTTGGCCAAATCAAGCTTGGCTTCTTCGTCGACCATGACGACATCCTCGGGATTTGCGGCCATTTTACCTGAAAAGCAGAGGAAAACGGTAAATTTGACATCTAAGATCAAATCCACCCTTCCACCGCAAATCAAGTGAAAGGGCAAAGAGAAAGGGCGAGGAAACGCTCAACAAACGTCCTCGACCGAAGCCCTTGCCGACAAGCACATGCACGTGAGGGGACTCTCCTCGACGGGGAACGCAAAACCTCCCTCCGCGAGAGAAAGGTTCCTCAACGCTTAAGTTCCCACCAACCAAACATGGAAAGTCTCTTCGACTAGAGACTTTTTCGTGGTACTCATGCGTCCATGGGGAGAAAGTTTCCCCGACTTCAAACCTAGAGAGGACGCTAAAGCTTCATCAGATCCCCGAGACCTTCATCGCAAACTTCATGCATTTTCTCATAATCTTCATGAAGTCACCGGAATCTTTGTCGGAAACTTCATGATTCCGCCAGAAACTTCATGAGGTCGTCGAGAACTTCATGAGGTCGCCGGTAACTTCATGGTCCTTCCTAGAATTTGCCGGAAACTCCATGAACGTCCCAGAAAATTCATCGGAGACTCAAGAAATTCCCCGAAAAATGCATAACACACCAGAAAAAACATAAATCCTGGAGAAGGACAGAAGACTTACTTATGCAAAAAATCTGGAGTAGGACGAAGGAGCAAAGAGTTGATGGCGGCGGCGATGAATGAGCGTTAGGAGAGCGGAGAAAATCTTGAGACTTTGAGGAATTCTTCAGCTAAAATGGGGTGTGTGCAAATGAATCGATCTTCCCCTCTAATTATAAGCCCTAACACGAGAAACAAAGCGTCTCGTAGGCACTCAAGCACCCCTACTCGTAGCCATCATAGGCATTTATTACTTCTAACACGTGGCTCAAGACAACATCACGCGTGTCCTTTTGAGACCCCTCGCATGACTCGAGGAAATGACGTGTGTAACCCTTTCACTTTCGTCGCGTCGTTTGATACCTCGAGCTCAATGCTCAGCCTTCGCGTTGTCACGGACACCTCCTCGAGAAGACTGGGCAGCAAGCAGGTGGCGGATAAACCCCCACACAGGCACCTGTCTGTGGGATGAGCGCCCAGTCAGACCCAATCATTGTTGAAAGCGGCCGACACCTTCCGCAAGCATGACCTTTCGAACTCGTCATCTCGAGCACGAACGGTGCTTCTTCAGACAAATTACATGCGCCCATCCTTAACACATGAGTTAACTCTTAAGTCATTACTCCTACGCTTCGGAACAACGATTTAGGGGACTCCTGTTCTGGACTGAGGCAGAGGCTGGCCCACCGTCGGGCACAACCCAACCCAGCTCCTCGTCGGGGAGGGTCCAATAAAGGCCCAATCCACAATCACACGGGAAGCGTTCACACGTCTTTCCCACAGTCTCCACGTGCTCCCCACGCGGGGACACGTCATCAGCCACCTACCCACATCCAAGAGAGCAAGTCCTCCACCTCCCAAAGTTCACGAAACAGTTGGAGCAGGATGAAGACCACGTGTTGATCTTCCTTACGCCACGTAGATCCTAACAGTTATCCACATCGAACCTAATGACCTAACCCAGTGCAGATAATCGTTGGCCCAACAATGGAGGCATATTATAAATACCCCTTTTTCACTAGAGGGTCGGGTATTCTAAACACACTAGCTTTATGTACTTACTCATTCTATCTCTTTCTCACTTTGGCAACGAAGTGTCTTGCAGGTACACCTAATAATCTCTTTCTAATTCGATAAGATGAGAAATACACTTAGACGGTTAAGCTTTTAACATTTGCCCAATTTATTTTATTGGATAGATAAGACGAGTTCACCTAAATAAAAACAATACATGATTCAAAAATCACACTCAAATGTTCTTGCCATAATAAATAAATTATCAAACGGGAAGAATTTCAGGTTGTAATTATCAAACGGGAAGAATTTCTAGTTGCAACTTAGTATATGAATCAGTATTATGGTCAAGCTTCTTTTTTTTTACGGGAAGTATTATGGGCAAGCTAAAACTGCATTTCATGCCCATCAACATTTTCACCTAAATAATTGTCAAAAAAACATTTTTAATTAAATATATGTATAATTAGTTTGGCATAATGTAAAAAGAAAATCTAATATCCTATTTTATTCACCATGATTTAAGAATCTAAAGCTTCCCTTTATCTGAGTTTCTTCTCTCGGCCTCTTTTTCAGCAACCATGACACAGAACTCAGAACCAAGCATGTCGATTATATCAAGATTAGACGAAACACTTAGATCAATTACTCCCTTGATATTTTCCAACGCTATGATGAACCCTAGGGTGGACAATACTCTTACAGCATTTGCAGCCCGGCATATGTATTTTCTAGTCTCCAGTGGCGTATAGTTTTTCTCTTGTTCTTCAAGACTTGCTGAATTTTTATTCGGAACTAAAACGTGTGCATCAGATTGATTAACTTGGTCTTCAACCATGTCATCTCTGATTTCAACATGTTCCCCAACCCCAACCCATATGAAACCATTATGGCCGATTATTAAGTCAATACCATATTGCTCGAGATGATGAAAATGTTGTTTTTGTCTCTTCACTAAATACGGTGTGACTGTAAGCAACTGACCACTTCGAAGCTGCAATACAGTTGAAAGCCATTAGTAACACTAGTAAAAGACTAAAGAAAGTCCAGAAAATGGAAATATAGTTTACAAGGTTTTCAAGACTACAAACCTTTCCATATTTTTGACTTCTTGTTTGAAGGTGTATGTCACCATGCGTAAAATCACGAACTTCAGCCTGTGAACATGTTCGTCATATAGAACACTAGTCAGCTGTTGTTTTCTTTCATAAAAAGTAAGTAAATTATAACATACAAGATAGAATCCAACTTACACAAATGTAATCATCCTCTGCAAAAATACATCTCATATTCAACTCATCTCTTGATGTCCTTCGCCTCTAGGAACGGAAAGAACAATTTTGAGTGAGGGAGTGACAAATTTAAACTTGAAATATTATTTCTTCAAGAATTATGGTTTCTTTACGCGAAGGTTTATATAACTTCATGATGGGGGAAATTGATGACCATCAAATCAAATAATGGCACAGAGCAAACACAATTCAGGTCATCAATAATACTTGTGGTTCAACCAACATATCAGACAGTTTCACCAGAAAAAAGGATATCAACATAACATTGGGGAACTTTTTCCTACAACTAAGAACTTCCTAAATCTGTCTCAAGGCATTGATTGATCCCATCATCTAACAATTGCGAAATATTCTAAGATCAATTCACCACGAATCCAAAAATTTTAAAATGACATACTCATTATGATAAACAACTAAAAACATACCATCCATTCTATCACTCAAAATATAACAAGATACTATGGCAACAGAACCGTCTTATGTTTTTGGAGGCTCTGTGTAGGTTAATCACCGCGGTTCAACTGTCGCAAAATAAATTGGGGCCAATTTAACCATGTTTTAACTGAGTGACAAATATTTTATGGGCCCTATTTAGCCAAAGTTTAACCGTGGCAAATTTTGAGCCCTGTGCCGCGGTCTGCCTTGCACAAAGACAGCCCTAATGGCAACAATATGGCAAAACAGTAAACACTAATCAATAACTCTCATAAACCATTCTATCAATTTATCCAAATTTGAAAAGACACTGTAATTTTCCTCAAAGGAAGCTAGAATAAAAAACAAGATATCTTCTCCTAAAATGAGTTGAAAATACCTGTACACCATCAAGCACATTCATAGCAGAAATCATCAAATAAGCATTTTGACTGCAATTAATATCCAATTTCCAATGCTTTTGAGCAACCTACACAACAACAAAACAATAATATCATAGCAGCGAAACATTGTGAAAGCAAATTCATAAATTAGAGGTGAATGATATAAAAGTGTACCTCAACAACTCGCCCTATAACAATGTCACCAACCTCAGGTTTGTACCTAAAGTCACAAGATTCAATTAACAAACAAAAACATAACAATTGAATAAAAAAATGAACAAGTTAAGAAGCAAAATTACCTTGAGCTCAAAGAGCGCACATAAACGAGTTTGTTAACACGCTCCACAGTGCCACAGAGAGTCGAAACGACTTCACCATCTAGGTCAGCAGTTCCGTGACCTTTGAGAACCCCTTCTTCAAAGTTGACAGGTATGGAATCGGCTATGGTGACAGTGTCATCGAAATTCACCTTAGATGATAAAGATTCCATGGCTTTTTGTAGACGGAGTTTGTGAGTTTGACTCAAATGTAACTGAATCCCTCTCATCTCTTTCTCCATTTTCAAAGATCAACGGTAGAAGCTTAAGCGAGCAAGAAACCAGCGTAGAGTGGGAACGATGGGAGGAAGGTGACGACTGAGGGGTGGGAAAAGTAAATGGAGGGTGCTAAACAAAGAAAAGAAGAAAGGGTTTTAAAGAAGGAAATAGGGTTTTGGGTTTTAACGAGGGAATAATAATCTGAAAAGATATTTATCTTTGAAAACAAAATCTTCAGTAAAAAAATATTTAGGAGATTTCAAAAATTAAAATCAATTTCAAACATAAATATAAATATTTACACTTTATTAATAAAAAAATATTGATATAATTTAATCCAAACAGTTTATATTATTAAATTGATAAAATATAACCTTTAGGCCACATATTCAAAATATGAATTGTTATTTAAAATATATTAAATATATAATGTGTGTGTAATTTTAATATTAAATGTTAAAAAGATATTTATTGTGGGTTTATGTCGTAATTGTTCATTCTAAGAATAATGGTAGTTTGTGGTTGTTTGAAGGGTGAAAATGACCGCAAATGGTTTGTAGTGGTTAAATTGATTGTAAAGAGCGACTAAACCAAGATTTAAGGCTAAAGGTTACGATTTTCTTATATATTGTCAAATGTTTTTATTTTATTACATATTACTATATACTACATCCGTTTGTGGTTGTTTGAAGGGTGATAATGACCGCAAATGGTTTGTAGTGGTTAAATCGATTGTAAAGAGCGACTAAACCAAGATTTAAGGCTAAAGGTTACGATTTTCTTATATATTGTCAAATGTTTTTATTTTATTACATATTACTATATACTACATCCGTTTTAAATTATAAGATGTTTTGGGCATTTTACATAGTTTAAAAAATGTAATTATTACTTTATGAAAACTTAAAATGATTTATTACTTTACAAAATTGTTCTTCATTAATTATATTGAAAAACGGAGTAAAAAAATAAGAAGAAGAAAGAGAAATAAATGATAAAAAGTATATTAGGGGAAAAAATCATTACTATTGTATTGGGATTCTAAAGTGATTTATAATTTGGGACAAATATTTTTTGTAAAGTGACTTATAATTTAAGACATAGGTAGTATTCTAGACCAAACTTATGTCTAAAAGATCCAAATGACCCATTTTAAATCATCCTTTAAATACTAGCATTGGCTTTAAAACAAGTATGATATTCTCATTCAAAATTCACTCCATTTCTACTATTCACAAAGTGATTTGGGTGTTGAAGTGTCAGTATTGCAGGTCCACCAATATCACCACAATATAGCAAGGTGCGATGTGTAACACCCCACCACCCAAATTAAAATAAAATACAATTAAATCAAATAACTATCAGAGTTTCCATTCCAAAAGTGGGATATTACATCCACAAATTCAACAAAACACTTCTTTATATGGTTTTCAAAATAAAGCAGCGGAAAATTATCATTAATATATATATATATATATATATATATATATATATATATATATATATATATATATATATATATATATATATATATATATATATATATATATATATATATATATATATATATATATATATATATATATATATATATATATATATATATATATATATATATATATATATATATATATATATATATATATATATATATATATATCATTCACGGTCATCCGCCAAAATACACAAAATATTCATTCATCATCCAGGTTCACCAAAATACAACATGTCACAAGAATACAACAATTTAATCATAAAACAAATAAACTCCCAAGTCCCGTGTTACGTATCAAAGCATCCTATGACTCGACTCACACACCACTATCCAAGCTAGCTATGCACCTGGATTATCTGTACTTCCGAAGAAACACAGACCAAAACAACAACAACAACAACAACAGAGGGGTGAGAAAACACGATCAAAACTATCGGTAGTAAAATACATGAATAAAAAGGCAGTAAATAAACAATCATCACCCCACCAACATCAAACAGGACCTACTGTCCAATCATCAACACAACACGTCATAATGCAAGAATGCAACCCAACACATGCATGCGGTACCGACTCATCATCATTGATGGACATCGGGCCATCAACTCTCTACAAGGGAGCACATCATAAACAGGATAAATCACTTACGCTCCTCCTGAGACATGATCTATCCCCACAATTCTCCATAAAAGAGTACGGGTGAATCACTTACGCTCCTCCTGAAACATGATTCAACTCCGCAATCACTGATGGACACTGGGCCATCAACCCTCCACAATGGAGCACCTCATAAACAGGATAGATCACTTACGCTCCTCCTGAGACATGATTTATCCCCACAATTCTCCACAAAAGAGTGCGGGTGAATCACTTACGCTCCTCCTGAGACATGATTCAACCCGATCAAGACACCATGCTATGCACAACACCAACATCAAGCACACTAAGTGCACATGATCCTACTGATCACATCACCATACATCACACACACACACACACACACACACACACACACACACACACACACGCACGCACACACACACACACACACACACACACACACACACACACACACACACACACACACACACACACACACACATATATATATATATATATATATATATATATATATATATATATATATACCAATCAATTATATTAATCAAGTTAAATATTAGGGAAATCACATTTGAACCCTGAGTACACACGATCCTCCCGATCACCTCATTATGCATCATATACATATTACATATATATATCTTACCCACCATTTAGTCATGTCAATTAAATTTGATATTTCATAATTACACTTCTCTACACCAAGTATACTCTCTTCTCTACTAAGCAACGTCTCTCGACCTATCACAACCCAAGGAATGCTACAAAATAAATCACAAGGCAAAACAGCACAAAAATCACATTTTGTCACGCTCGCTGGCTCACTCGCCTAGCGAGGCCTCAGCGAACGCTCGCTGCCTCATTCGCCTAGCGAACCCGCTAGCGAGTGCAGACAGTGGCTACTGGAAGTGTTCGCTACCCAACTCGCCTAGCGAATGCTCGCTACTAGCTTGCTCAGCGAAGGTGCTGACGAGTGTCTGCGATTTCACAAAGCCCTCACTGTTCAAAAATTCATCAGAAGCTCAAAAATCGTCTGATTCTCACCACACCAGTCCCAGCAGTCTTAGCCTAGCATTCTACGACTAAACCACACTATTTATCCCAGACTTTACCCGATAAAACCCTAATTCTACCGATTAAATCATTTTCGACCTAAACGGTAAACTACACCAATTCACCCAAGTCATTCCAACAATCACCTTACAATCACATGCAAGGAGTTCACCATAACAACAATGATCAGAAAACACCACAACATACTAATCATAATCATCAAATCCCTATGGGGTTAAGGAATCCCCAACTACCTCATTCATGCAATCACCAATTTTAACCCGTTTCTCCCCCCTTACATCGACTAGTTGCTCCGATCGATGAAAAACTTCCAAGAATTCGACAGCCTAGCCTTCTTCTTCTTCCTCTTGTTCTTGTTCTTCTCTCCTTACTCTTCTCTCCCACTTGATCGTGTTCCTCTTTTTCCTTTATTTCCAACTCACTAATACCCCTTTAAAACAATTATTCCCCATTTCTTTTAATTCCAATAATATTAATAATAATAATAATAATACCATTACTATTAATTATCAAATTATTATCATTATTAATTTTATTATACTAATATTAAAGGCCATAGCTTCTTAAATAATCCCCACAAAATACATGTCGAATTAAAATAACACCGGAAAGATTAAATAATTAAAATAGGTGTTACACGGCGTCTCAGTGTGGAGTTGCACCGACGATTCTGGTTTTAAAAAATAAACAACTATCTGAGACATAGTTTCATAGGTGACTCTGATACCACTGAAGGGAAATTGCAACATAAAACGCAGCGAAAAAAATTTCCTTAAGTCGGTCTTTACAAATGAATCATGATCGATGATAGAAATAGTTACCTTTTGTTGCGATTAACACCTTTGATGCAGAATCAAAAGAACCATCACAAGCGTTGAACGAAGAACAACGCCTATACTAAGTCCACAAGAAAATAACGTCTTTAATCTCAGTGCTAGCTACTACGAGAGAGAGAGAGAGAGAGAGAGAGAGAGAGAGAGAGAGAGAGAGAGAGAGAGAGAGAGAGAGAGAGAGAGAGAGAGAGAGAGAGAGAGAGAGAGAGAGAGAGAGAGAGAGAGAGAGAGAGAGAGAGAGAGAGAGAGAGAGAGAAGAGAGAGAGAGAGAGAGAGAGAGAGAGAGAGAGAGAGAGAGAGAGAGTATAATTAGGATTCAAAACTAAATTTCATTAAGTGTAAAAGCTTTTGCATAATGGTTCTATTTATAGAACCGCTTGTGTGGACTGTAAGCTGAAAAACTCACTTAAGTGCATCGTACCTTACTGTGTATTATATTTTACTTAAGTGCACAATATCTTACGATATTTCGTATTTCACTTAAGTGCATCATACCTTAAGATGTTCTACAATTCACATAGGCACACAATACCTTACATTGATCCATAATTTTCTTAAATACATTGTTCCTTACGGTGTTCCATATGTCACTCTCTCACAAATATCTCCTTATGTGTGTTATCCTATAGGTTCTCTTGATGTTGACAATTATACTAAATCACATATTTAATATAATAAGCAATAAACATTATCTAGTAATACATCACGGCTACCCACGTCAAAAAATATCATGGAATCTAATAAAACCTTTTTGTGATAATGTTTATGTGTGAAATTAGCTTTTTGCCCTTATATCTATATTGAAAATAAGGCACAAATAAGGTGAGAAAAATACACAAGAAAGGGGTTGAATTGTGTATGCCAAATTGTTTCTACTTCTGAAGCAGAGTTCAAATTCTAAACAGAAGTTCAGAACCTGATAACAAGTGCAGTGGGAAAATATACAAAAGTAAAAAAAAACAACAAATAACACACAACAGTTATAATGACTCCTCTCCAA